ACTCATTGCATTGCAAGGTTAAAGTCGGAAACATTTCCATAAAATAACATACACAGGTGAATAAATGATATGTAGCATGTCTAAGGTACGTTGCATTACCATGTGCTTAATGGTGAGGATAGTATGGGTAAACTTTTGCATGCTGTTTGGGTGAAGTGAACTGCTAAATATTTGCTCCCTACTCCTTCTCTCCGCCCCGCTTCTCCTTTTCCAGTTCTTCGTACCTTACTCGGACACAAAGCGAATATCTGCAGCCTTGATTTCCATCCTTTTGGAAGCTTTGTGGCATCTGGCTCTTTGGACACAAACATTAAGGTAAAACCCAGCTTCCCCTAGAGATTGCCCTCTTTCCTTGGCCATATCTTTGTTCTGAAGAGTGCTAGAATGTGTTCTGTGCCGAGCTGTTGGTAGCTGCTGCGCATCATCATTTCCATGTGTGTGGGCAGGTGTATTAGCGAGTGCTTTTGAAATGCGTGCGTGTATTTTCAGTGGTAGCTCACGAGTGTGACTCCTCTGTTGTGGAATGCGGCTCCGAGTTAGGTGCTGGCCGAGACCTGGTGTCAGCAAGCGCAGATGGCCTGGTTGCTGTGGATTGCATCTGCTTCACCAGGCTGGTATTTGACTGTAGGGGCTGCAGTGAGAAATACCTTATGGAAGTGATTCTCACCTGGGATTTAGGTCAGGACATACCCCTGAAACAAACAGGGGTTTAACAGCCCCTTCGGTGTTTTCATTCTGTGGTGTTTATCAGCTCGGTGACAGGAAGAGCTCTTGTTCTGGCAGGACTCTTGGGCTCCTCACACTCTGCTCTAAGCGTATCTTGTCTTTGCTTTTCTTCCTGTAGCTCTGGGATGTACGAAGAAAAGGCTGTGTCTTCAGGTACAAGGTAAAATGCTTCCTTAGTATTCAGGCAAAGAGGGGAGAAAGATTTCTGTCAAGGACTTGTGAGCAAACCTAAAAGTGATTATGTACAATTACCTTCCTAGTTTTCCAGTATAGAAATAAGATCTGCACAATTTGTGAAGTGGTCTGGTAAACCTCTGCAGGCTGCTGTGAACTGTGTGGGAATATGAAATGGATATCATAGGAGTTAGTGTTCTGTAGTCTGGCTGGGGGTATGGAGAGCGTCCATGAGTGTTAATACTGTCGCTGACATTACCATGCAAATCCCCACTGTGCCGAGACGGTTCTGTTCTTGAGGTCTTTACTACCCGAAGAACTTGCTGTACATTAATTTCATTCAGAAACCAACTTAATGGCACAGCACTTCTATCTGATCACCCACAGATCTGTGTAATTTAAAATTGATTCTTATTAATTAAGCCAGATTTGTATTTACCATGTTTAAACTGATGCCAGAAATGTCTAGATGAGAGCGATTACACCCATTTAGTGTGGATGGGTGTAGCTTGAATGTAGTGTTTAGTGTTCTGCGAGCTGTGGACTTTGTGAAACAGTTACTTGATTTTGTATTATTGTATAGGATTGAAAGACAAAAGCCAGAATTCACTCTAAAGGAACAACAAAAAAAACCCCCACCAATCCCTCAAACTATTTGTTTTTCTCATTTCAGGGTCACACAGAAGCAGTTCGATGTCTCCGCTTTAGTCCTGATGGGAAATGGTTAGCCTCTGCTGCTGATGATCACACTGTGAAGGTGATTTATTGTGACACCCTCCTGATGTGCTCGTGGCACATGGGAACACCAGGATCGTCTTTTTACCAGGCATTACCAGCACTCACTTGTAAACACCTTTAGTTCATTAGGCAGTTGGCTGAGCCCTGTGGCTTTGCAGGGACCAGTCTGTTGATGAGGATCATGTCCAGTGGCCCACAACATCCAGAGAAGAGCCGCACGTGATGAAATGCAGTTATCTGACAGACACATTGGTACTATGCACATGAGGGTTCAAGTTGTGATGGTGGTAGAGTTGTGATACCTTAACATTGGCCTCGGTCGTCTCGGTAGATGTTATGGAATGAGTGGTCTGCAGCACATTGCTTCACCATACCGGTCTCTGGCTCTGCTTAGTTAATTCAGTAAGCGTGTGTTACCGTACACGTTGTGTGTGATGATCAGGCTGAAAATTGCTGTCAGGGCTGAGCAGAGTGAGAGAAGTAGTTCAGAAAAGTATCGGCTGGAGCAGTGACTTCGCTTGTTTCAGGTGTGATATGGAGGGATGTGGGCAAAGGACTGCGTTTTGCTTTCAGCTTCTCTTGAAATACGCTGATCAGTCATTTCACTGTGGGTTTTTCAGTGGAGACTAGAGCACAGGAAGAATGAAATTGCTAACGGATTTGGAGCTTTTGGATTTTTGTTTGTTCGCTTTTGAGATATCTGCGGGGACAGGTGGAAATGCTGTATTTTATCCCAGTCTCTAAATATAAACCAGAAGCTTCTCGGGGACAAATTAAATGGAGAATTTAAGAGAATGCCAAAAAAAGAAGAACGAAAGTGCGAATTCCCTGATCATTGCTTTCTGTGACAAACTTGAGCCTGTTCTTGGAGGGGGAGAAGCATTAGACGGTTGTCAGTACAAGGAAAGCCAAAGTGTGTTGGAATTGTCTAGCATTAAATCTTTTCAAGAGTCTCTCTGTTCTTTCCTTCTTCCAGCTATGGGATCTGGCTGCTGGGAAGATAATGTTTGAGTTTACAGGTCATACCGGCCCAGTAAACATTGTTGAATTCCATCCCAATGAATACCTTTTGGCTTCTGGCAGCTCTGACAGGTACATGAGGGGAGGGAGAGAGAAGGGAATTGTGTATGTTGGTTCCCTTTCCCAAGGCCCTCCTTAGGAAAGTAGAAAATAGGAATGTCGCACAACTCGGACCTGCCACTGCAAGAGCCTGACATCTAGTCAGCAGCATGTCACATCTGTGACGTGCAGAACATGGAGATCTTGCCTTCTCATCCAAAATTGATGGCACCTTCTGCCACAGTAGAAAGCAATGCGGTAGCCTCAAGCATCTCGCTAACCCAACTGACATGCTACCCCAACAGCAAGCAGTCCTGTGCAGCTGGCAGGGAGGGTGTCCTCTTAGCTCTGGGTCACCACTAGATACCTGTCCATATCTAGAGCCTCTAAGTGTCTGTGGCTGGATTCGTGGACCTTAGCTAGACCATTCATCGTACGTGCACAACAGTGAAGGTCATTCTAGCTATTAGTATGTTATTTCAATACTGGATGCTACAGCAGATTTCTAGAGGGACGAACAGTGTTTTTTTTCTGCTGTGTGTACAGGACAGTTCGATTCTGGGACTTGGAGAAGTTTCAAGTTGTGAGCTGTATTGAAGAGGAGGCTACTCCTGTCAGGTATATTAAATTCCTACCACAGTGTACTAGACAGGGACTGAAGTCAGGGTTAGGGGAGGCTTTTCTGAAAGTGAGACTTTACTGGGGACAAGTTTGTGCTGCTGGAGATGTTGCACAGGTGAGCATCGGGTCTGTAGCTTGTTAGACATGGGGCTGGAGGTGTTCAGTGAAGTCAGGGATAGAGCCCGGGGGTCCCTGGGAGACTGAGCACTGTGGGAAAGCTGTGCGTGATTCTCCACCTGCCTTCCTCCCAGGTGTGTGCTCTTCAGCCCGGACGGCTGCTGCTTGTACAGTGGCTTCCAGGACATGCTGCGTGTGTACGGCTGGGAGCCAGAGCGCTGTTTTGATGTGGTCTTGGTGAACTGGGGAAAAGTAGCCGACTTATCTATCCGCAACAACCAGCTGGTAAGCCACTGCTGCTGAGGAGTTGGGGAGGCGGCTGCGAAGCACAAGATGAAATCCTCCTGCCTCTTTGCAGACCTACTGACCTTTAAGCTTATGTCAGACTGTAAGGGGCCAGGGCGTGCAATGTGCCCAGTGCTTAGACAAAGCTTGTGTGCTTTTGTGTGCAGCAGCCTTGTGCTCCACTTTGTCTCCCTTTGGCTTCTGGAGGAAGGAACTGGGGGCTTGGTTTGACCAGTATTTAGAAACCATGCTTGGCAAAAGTTTTATCATAGCCTTTCGTAAAACACCGGGAGCTTAGAATTGGAAAAGCCAAAGAGCTGAACTGAAAATTCTCAAGCACGGTTGCTCAGGGTCACTCCATCGTGCCTGTCCTCAGAAAGGCTTGCGCGCACCCTCCTCCCTGGTGAATGACCTTGATCTTTTGCCTCTGCAGATAGGAGTTTCCTTTGCGCAAAGCAAAGTGTCTTCCTTCGTTGTGGATCTCAGCAGAGTCACAAAGTCGGGTTCCGTTCCTCACGGGCTGATCAGGGATGACGAACCTCTTGTGCCCCCTACCCCCACAGGGTCCTCCCTTCGCCGCATCTATGACAGGCCCTCAACTAGCTGCAGCAAGCCGCAAAGGTAAGGGAATCTGCTGGCTTGGTGGATTTCAAGGTTTTAAGGAAATGTACAAGGAGCTGAGTGCTCTCGCTCTCTCTGACAGAGTCCGTATGGCTTGCCCTGACAGCATCTCTTTTTTCTGCAGCAGAGTGAAGCACAACTCGGAGAGCGAGAGGCGCAGTCCCAGCAGTGAAGATGACCGGGATGAGAAGGAATCAAAGGCTGAAATTCAGAACCCAGAGGATTACAAAGAGATCTTCCAGCCCAGGAATGCTATCTGTCAGTACCAGGGTTTATTGTGCTTTTCAGTGGTGTTTGGAATAGAGCTGTGGGTGCTAAACTGGTTCAGTAGAAGTGAGCTTTGGCTTACGATAACAGAGGCTTCGCCTGTGACTGGGAGAGTTTAGAAAACTTTTATTTAATGTTCTGTACTTGGACACTCAACCGCAGATCATGTTGGTGAACTGCTGGAAGGTGGCACCTTCACTAGGATGCAGTAGTGTCTGGTCAAAGCCTGGTTCAGAATCCAGAGCTCCATTGCAAGCATGTGGCCTGCCTGTCCTTCTTGGGAAGGACTGCTGTGTTACGGTATCTTTATTAGCTTAGAATTTTGATACGTATAAAATCAGCAGCCTCCATTAAAGAAGGAAAGGCAATGTGTTTTGTTAAAGCGGAGATCGTTGTTTAGGAGGCATAGAGCAATGCCTGTGTCTTCCTTTTAAGTAAACAAGAAAAATGTGATACTCTTTCTAAGCAGTTAATAGTCACTATTTTGATTTACTTGTGTTGGTGATTTTTTTATAATATAATTTGTTGTGGCATTTCATTTTCTTGTGCCTCGTATCTCTACAGCAGCAATGCACGACATGGGTCAGTTTTGTCCCTCCTATCCATGAAGGCTGAAAGCCTTTGGGTAAACTCAACAGCAGCATCAAGGTCCGAAGGAGATGACTCTGCTTGCCATATCACTGATTTTTCCCTAATCTGTGGAGTTGCTGGAGATCTCCCAGCTCCAAGGTTGGGTTGTCGCTAATCTGTAGCCTTGGATGCTCCTCTGTTTGTTAATTGTTTTTCTCTCTTGCTGTAGGTCGAACCCCTCCTCGAAACAGTGAGCCCTTTCCTGCCCCTCCTGAGGATGGTGAGTATGAAAATGACCCCTTGTTGGGAACGGGGTTAATGGCCCTCAGAAGAAGGAGGGATGCATGTCTGCAGAAATGACTACTTGTGGTCTAGCTATACAGAAACTTTGCTATCAACTTCTCTTGAAAGGAGCAATCAGTTTCTGCTTTCCCACTTCTTTCCATCCTGATAGACCCCGTAACTGCAAAGGAAACGGTGAAGCCCAGCCAAGCTGCGGATGTCCAGACCCCGTTGCCAAAGCAGGAACTTGTACGTATCGTATGATCTGTTAATAGCTGTTCATGTGCCCACTCTGAAAAATGTGTACTGCAGACTTTACCATTTCTAATCAAGCCTATTCCTTTACTGAAGAGCAGTAAAAGTGCAGCTCAGATGTTTGTTTTGCCCAAGCAGCAGAATCGAAGGCCAAGCCTCCAGCAGGCGATGGCTCTTTTGCTTTTGTTCGCATCTCGCACTCGCAGTGGTGCTTCTCCTTGCGTCTCCGAATTGGGACGCTGTGAAGAGAACCAAGTGCTGGATTTCTGCAGGTGCTCGAACTGAGGCTTTTCTGTAGCCAAAAGCACAAGCAGCCGATGGGCAGAATACATTATTCCGGCTTCTTCAGCATTCTCTCTTCGCCTTCAGGCTGGCGGCGGCCCATTGCCCTGATTTTAGATGCTGGTAACAGTGACAGCATTTGACACTTCTATTGGGGGATCTCCATGTTCTTTGTAAACCTTAATTACATCTTGGTGTGTACCTGAGAGATACTTTTATTGAGTCTTAAATCATGCTAGCAAATTGGACCCTTCTGTGAGAGGAAAATGGATCAGGAAAAAAGGACATCAGGCTGGGGCCAGATTGTTGCTGCTAGAGCTTTTGTCCCAATTTCTCCAGCAGCCTGATCCGGTTCAGAGGCCACCGATTGCCTCCTCAACTGCCTTGACCAGAACAGAGCCGTCGGTGATTCCTGCAGCCAGGAATGAGCCCATTGGCCTGAAGGCCTCTGACTTTCTACCAGTAAGTATCTCTGGACAACAGTTTCCAGCCGGTGTTTGCATAGGGTGGCATCAGGAGGGGGGTGGTTCCCTGAGGTGCAGAAGAGTGTCTGAGGTGCTTTCTGCAGCCTGCAGTCCTCAGTACTGAATGAGAACACGCTAGCTCCTGCTCCCCCTCTGCTCACCTGGCGCTTCCCCTGCCAGCTCACCCTGCTGCCTCCCACCCGCTTCATCTCGCTGTTCCTGTGGGACTGGCACCTCAGGGCTGCTGGGTCCAGGCCCCATCGCGACTGACAGCAGGCTGTGCGAACACAGCAGCGTTGATCCATCCTCGCAAAGAATGCCTTATCAAAGCACAGAGGGCGAGGGATGAGGCAAAGAGAAATTGGTGTCTGCCATTGCACATACATAATTATTTCAAGAGTCTTTCCCTCTTGCATCTCGGAGGCTTCCTGGCCTCTCCTGGGAGGGCATTCCCTGTCCCAGAAGGGAGAAGGACTAGAGCATCATAGTGATCCCAGACTGTAAGTGTGAGCAGAGGAA